CTCATATTTATTCAGTGCTCCTAGGTTTTTAATAGTAGTCTAACATTGATCGGTTCATGATTTCAATAGCACGATTAAATTTACTTTCTACATAACCTATATTGTTGTATGGTATATTTCTTTTTGTATATATGAAGGGTTAGATAAACTTGACAAATTAACAAGGTCATTTTCTTTTCTTTCTCTACTCTTCACGTGTACATATATACATTACCATAAAAATAAACAAATAAGAACTAGGGGAAAGAAAACGAGAGTGTGTGTGTGAGATAGAATGAGCAGGAAAAGTCCTTTAAATTGAACAATCAATAATTGGAAAATAAAAAAGTATCCTGAAACCCTGGTAATAATTTCTATCAATGCGATTCCGTATTATTTTTCTAAAAATAGACTTGTTTATAGAAACATAAATAAGATAAATGAGGTCAGTTTTAATAACATTGTAGTGTGTGCTACTTATATTGACATAAGTAGTACATGATGTTAGTTTTGAACGGAAGGTCTGACAGCAGAAAGACAACAGGATCTAATAGTAAAGAATCGAAACAGAATGAAATTTGTATGAAAATCCAAGAACAATGAAGTCTGAGTCATTTTGAGACAATCAATGGACATTTTGCAAATTAAGCATTTACTTTATGATTGTCAGATTTTATACACAAGTCATGTAATTTTATGTTAAATACATTCGATTGTCCCCATCCATGTTCTGTCCACTACAAAATCTATCATTGATTTTATTCCTAAGAATATTATTATTATAAATAAGACAGATCCAAATTGATGTTGAATAGAGTGTAGTGCAAATCTGCAACCAACTAGATGAGATTGTAATAATAATCATTACAACAACTATTGTTTCATAATCACTTTATCATATGATCCATTTGAATAAATAGTCAAATGTATATTTTCAGTTTTTATTTTCATTAAGAAAGTTCAATTTTTATATGATTCATTTACCAAATGCATAAGTTTATATAACTGGTATTGAAACTAGATTTTTGTGTAACACTTAAATGAAATGGTACCATAATATGAAAGACAATTGTATAAAATTTGCATGCGTCAGTGAATTACAACTAAAGACTTCGTTCCAGTTGATAATTATAAGCAAGGCTTATTTGTAATATTGAGGAAACTCCTTTCAGGACTAGAAACTCGCATCACCAAGCTTCGGAGTTTGAAACGTTATCACGAGACGTGACTGACTTTCTGTAGGATTGAGATATTAAACACTGAATAGTAACATGCTTATCTAGTCCTTAATGAGCTGAACGAATTTTATTAAGATCATCACCACTTTTTACTTGAGATTTTAGACATTGCATAATTCAATGGCTTGAGACGTTATTGTATATATTTCAGGATTGAGGCCAGCGGAGATCCAGATGTCATTTTTTACTTAACTCTTCATAAAATTGAAAGAAACTCTTTTCATTAAAAGAATTAATTTTTGATTGCATCGTTATCTGAATTATATTCCCTATTGTACATTAATATTGTTCATTTATACCTTTATTTCTTTCCAATCCACTTGTGCAGATCATGGTTTGGGTACCCGGCACAATTTGTTGAAACCTACAGAGGATTTTATCGCCAAAATATTATTATAAAAAATAAAAGAAACTTAGTAACTTGGTCTGAAACAGACAAAATTTGTATGGGATTGAGAGAAAAAAATACTCTTCATGTTCAATTGATGAACACAGAGAACACAAGGTGTTAAGTAAAGTAAACTTTAATGATAAAAAAATGAAGTACAGTTATTCATATGTCACAGAAATATAATTGGAGACATTAAATGTGAATACACATATACATAGATTGGATTCACAGCACAAACCAAACTGTCAATCTTTTCTCTATATCACAACATAACACTTACTTTAATGAATAAATAATCATTTTGGGTCAGATTTTAAATATTGATTAATTTCATACGTCAAATAAAATTGATTCAGTGAAGAGCTCACTTCTCGACAAATTCATTTTCAAAGCTGTACAACAGTAAATATATATATATATACTTTTTTTTTCAGGGTGGTATTTGCTTATATATAATGCCATTGTTATTTAGGACGGAAATAGATTAGTCTCTTATTGGCATATGTGCATACTGTGCCTATTGCTTCGATATTGCCTTAATTCACAAGCATTCTAAGCCAACTATTTATTTATTTGAACAGATAAATACTGGTATAAGGGGGCACCGGATATATATGCACCACACAAATCTCATTTGATTTGTGTGAGAGCTGTGATACTGCCCGGGTGCCAAGCAAACTAATAAACGTTTAATTGTTAATGGTTTAAATATTCATTAAAAGATAAATAAAGAAATTATCATTGGGAAAGGATGGCTCAGTATGATAAAATGTTGAAATTAAGATTAAATGTAATCAGGAGGATTATAGAAACGATCATTAGTTTACCTGTTTAAAAAAGTAATTTTAATACCTATATTCATTCTACCTCACTGTCATTATATCTAACAGAGGTTTATTATTATTATTATCATCCTGAAAAAAAGGAAGTATATATATATGTGATTGTGCAGCTTTGAAAATGAATTCACCGAAAAGAGAACTCTTCACTGAATCAATCTTTCTTATTTAATGTCTTAATGGGTGTATTTCGTTTACTAATTTCATGCAAACACTTAATATATATGGATCCACTTGGGTTAATTCAATCACTTATTATAATGATAAATAAATTTTGCTATTAAAGTTGGGATATTAAATAATATGATCATTATGATTAACAAAAAATACGGATTACGTATGTCCAATCATTGACTATCTCAATGACTGTTGTTAGCTGGAGGAAATTCATGGGCAGACAAACCAAAACATGACATTAATCCATCAAGTTATTGACTATTGGGGAAAAGCCGTGTAGGTAGATGTTGAATATAGTAAATAACGGTTGGAGATGTTAGTTGATATGGCTAAGAATTGGTTAAAGTTGAACAGATGAACTCACTTATTTTCTTCTTTTAAATCTCGAGTATTAAAAGATTTTTTCCTAGCCCACAAATTAATTCTTTCTTCCTGAATCATATTGTCTATGATTAATGTATTCAACTATCACTGATACAGTTGCTGTTTTCACTACTTTAGGATTTATCTTAATAATTTCAGATTCCTGTGATGATGATGCCAGATTCTAAGTCCCTTGTGACTCACTGATTGGCTAATTTAATGTTTATCCATGAGTTATAACTGGAAACAATTACGAAGAATGTCCAGTTAAACCTAAATTTTGTGTTAATTAGTTAGCGCTTATCATTAGCCTCATTCTTAATGACGGTCAGAGATATTATCAATGAGCGATTGACCTCCTTCAGGTCGATTTTTATATGGGCTAATCACAGAGTAGTAACCAACATCATGTTTATCTAAACCCTGAGTATTGATTAGATTCTATCAATCAAGTTGCAGTGTGGCTACTACTGGATAAACATAACATTAGTCGCTATTCAGTTATTTCGAGTGTGACTGACGAGACATTTTAGACAGGAATTATTAAATTAGAAGGAATATGGTTAAAATTTAAAGCTTCAATAGTGAAGTAAAGCTAGGAGCAAAACATAAAGGTGTCTATTATTCATAAATCAGAGTAAACATGAATTCAGTGCATTTGACACTTATTATAAGGCATTCTAGACACGTTTTCCATAACCTCCGATTGGATGTTTATAGAACATGTACATATATGGCTTCAGAACCAGTTAGTTTCAACTGTCCCGATAAACATAGGAAGTTGGAAACTATGTTTATCAATAGCAAAACATATAGTTGAAATGGAGTATAGGATAAACATCAACAAAATCTCGTAAATAGTGTAAAGGAACTGTCAAGAACAAATTCTTAGGTTTGTGGAAGCCTTGGATATTGAAAAATTCAAATTTCCTTTGTGTGTACAGAAATAATTTGTTGTAGCCTTGACATCTAGCCTAGGCCATTTTACAGCCTAAGATGGTGTGACGAATTTCCGTCTTTTTAATATGAACTTTTTCATTTCTTTTGTTTAAAATGACCCCTTTGTTTATTTGAATTTTATTAAATTTCATGTAAAATGACTTAAGAAATATGTATAAAAACAGTTTGCTCGAAATGTACAACGCAAATATATCAAATTTTTCAGATCAGCTCTGTTTTTTGATTGCTCTATCAAAATTTATAAAAGGGACTAATAGGTCTTCCTAGCACTAGACATGTTCGTGATACACGAAGTTACTAACTGCCGAAGTGGAGATTTCATGGTTGAAGTTGATATATTAGGAATTAATGATTAAAAAACTGTAAGCCAAATAGCTCAGTGGCACGGATATACCTGTGTTCTTCTACAACGTGAACAAGTCATTCTTCTGTTGGTGTAAAAACCGTCATCACTGTTATAACCTGGTTATAGCTAAGAAAATCGAAAGATGGATACACAAGCAAACTCGACGAACAGATATATTCTAAAAATCTCAAATTAATCTGTACTGGTCTCCTATCAACTTTCGGCTCGACACCTAAACAAGGTAGAAAACATTGGGAAGTCAAAGGTTCATCTCTTGACCCATGAGTGAGAAAGTCAGTATTTATACATTTTTAGAGTATCCTTGGGAATCACTCATCTAAGATATGTTTTGTAGAACCCGGCTTGACGGTAAGCGCGTGATTCAAATTAGCGACCGTTAAAAATTCCTTTATCGAATGGCTTGGGTCGAATTATCGGGAAATAATATATTTGCTTTCCTGATATTTTACTTCATTTAAATCCTACTTGATATTTATTTAACTTTCCTTTGTTAAGCACTCCAACATGAGCCAATGAACTGCAGAACATGGCTTCGTATAATTAATCGTCCATCCGTACCTTCTGAAATAACTATTTCATCCAGATCATCATCTTAAGTGAGTAGTAGTAGTAGCAATCATTTACATTAACAATATACATACGTAAAACGATAATTAAAATAGCAGTTCAAACAAACTAAGACTAACCTTTGATACTGGAACACTCATAATAAGGATTATTGCCATGAGAAATTTTTCTTTCACCAAATCATTAATTACTTGTTTACACCCCTAAAAAACATACGCAATTAAATAATTACTAGTAATATTTACATAAATTTCATTATAGGATGTTTTGAAGATTGTTTAATTTGAATTTTCACATTTTAGACCAACTATGGTCAGACAATTACTGAAAAACAGGAAGCACTGAACTCATTAACAATACATATCTAGGTCCACCTCGGCTAACAGGGTCGATTTCAAGACCTTTAGGACACTTTTGGACTACTAAGTTGGCATCAAGTGACGTACTACTAGAAAGAAAAACCTGTCCAGTACATTCAGGTTTTCAGTGACTGTCTAACTGAAGTCAGTTCATGATGTTCAGCTATAAGTTATGTAAATATTCTGAAACAATCATTACACATACAAATGATAGGTTAGAATAACGAGTTAGTAAAACGCACATTTACTAGGAATATTTCAACCTTAACAAACATTCCCAACAGATCGCTTAATTTCATGTCTTTAGTCATATTGTGATCATCGTACAGATTGTAATCTGAAAGTGTACACCTACACCCTTATATAATTTCTATTTCAAAAAATTCGTTTGTAACTAGGTGAAAAGTGAACGAATTAGATGATTATCTATAGTACAAGTTATGACTACGAATTGTTTCCGATGAAAATTAGATTTATTAGAGAAAATTGTGACATGGAAAGTTGAAAGGATTGATTAAACAGTACAACACTGATCAACCAATTATATTTAATATAGTATTTCTTGAAATTTTTCGAATTTAAAACACTGTAACAAATAATTTGTACCTAATTCACCGATAACTAAGTAAAACCTTTCAATATTTGATTATAAAAACACTTAACATAGATAAGCATAACAAGAATAAACTTGTGGTGTATGCTACTTATGTCTATCGAAATAAGTAGTATGTAACGCCAATCGGAAGTGGAAAACCCGGTAGCAGAAGGCTAAGAAAATTGAGTTAAAAAGAACAGAAGGGAAAATAGAAAGAAATTGTTGAATGGAAGGATCATGGAGAATGTGAAGGACAAATGATGGAAATTCCTAAATGAGGTATTTAGTGTATGGTTCTCATATTTTACCAAGGGATTCTGTAATCCTGTATTTAAATACAACTGGTTGTTTCCGCTTGAGTCTTCGTTTATTACAAACTGATCGTTAGAAAGTAACCAATTTTTTTATTAAAAAAAAGACAACGAAATTAAAGTACATATTATATGTTAACATGATTCACAAACTTAACGTAAAGTTTCTTGAGCACTGAAATCGAAAAGCTAACTGTCCATTTGACTACAATGTATCCTCTCATCTTAACGTTTTTAGTATACTACAATAAATTGTTTATTTATACTACCTGAGTTATGAATACTTAATGAATGTTAATTTTCGAGTCGCTTAAAGTGGTAAAGAACAGCCCTGCTGAAAAATTCTATGTATAGTCTTGTAGACTTCTAACCTAATCAACCAATTGATGTCATGTCATATGGTCTTAAAGTAGCCCTAGAGGCCTAGTGGTTATAGCATTCGAATTTTAGCCATTGGATTACAGATTTGTACCATGCTTAACCCTTCACACGGTGTGATTTGAAGTCAAGTAAATAAATTTATATTTTTCGAGTTACAACAAAGGTAGCATTGGGAATAACTGTTGAACAGTCCATTTCTTATTCGGTACACAATCCAATATCTAACAAGCTCTGAAGAAAAGATAAATTCTGAAAAACAGTGAATAATCCATCCCAAAAGTGAGTTTCATGTCAGATATATGTACAAGAAGAAAACACCGTTAGTCAAAATGAGACCCAAGAGATGAAATAGCTATAAACACCCACATATTTGGCATGGAAAAAAATTCTGTAAAACATAAAGAAATAGAAGAACTCTGTAAAAATGCACATAATTGACCTATGAAAAATTAAGACAGGTTACTTTTAATCTCTTGTCTGATAAAGAAAGGTGAAGGAAGAAGAAACAGGAGGAGAAAACATAAATTTCTACCTTCTACCACCACCATCATCACCATAATCAGTTTACAAATTATATTGCCCCAAAATGTCAAAAAGGTAGAGAAATGCACAAGGTCATTTAGTGAATAATTCACCATATATGAATCCTTTGCGTTAAGTAAAAAAAAGTGTAAGGCAAGTTAGAAACTGATAAATGGCTTATACGTATATATCGATATATAGATTCTGACAGATATATAGCAAATGTGTGTATACTAGTATATCAACCATGGAGCAAGGTATATAAGTTATTTATTAAGATATATTCTTGGTTGTGTTTGAAGCATCTGTTAATGTGGTTAACACGTATAATAGCTGAAACAGAACCTGTAACCTTCAGTCAGTAACAGATAACATAGCATCTAACATGAATATGAGTCACGTCAAGACCCCATAGCTCATCACATCAGTATAGGGAGTAATGAAATAATAGAGACGGAAAATAGGGGTAGATAAGTAATACTAACTGAAGTAGGAAGCTAAACACGATGGATGTAGCCTTGGAAAGATAAACGGAATGAAAGAATGGGGGATGGATGAAATTAAGCACAAAAGCAGGAAGAAGTAGGCTATCTGGTTGGGGCCAGAGCGATAACTATGACCAGCGGTTGAAAATATTGGGCGACACAGCTCATAACTGCAATAACTCAGAATCATTCACCCCCAATATATGCTGATTTTCAAATTTATTATACACCTCTTATTCTGAATATTCATTCAATATTCTCGAATAGAATTCCCTTAGCATGTTTTACTAATATCACTAGTCCTACCACTAGTTCGGCATTCACCTTGATAGTTTCACTTAGCTGAGCTGATGTGACGTACCATAGTGAATCGATGCACATATGCCAGGTGCTACGATGTTTATGGCTGTGACCGATTCCTTTACTAGTAGGTTGGTGTTTAGAAAACCAGCTTTTCAGCCAGTGACCTTCCGGTTTAAACCCCACTGCATTTATTTCTGTCTTGGTAGCTAGGCGAGTAGTAGAATCACTAACCCTTACACAACCAGTATGGCTAAGTCACCTATGGTTTTTGATCTTTCCATCCCTGTCTGGTTAGTTCAAGGCCGATGAAATCTGAAATAAAATTCTGATAATGAGATATTTAACACATTTTAGGGGACCTTATCGATTTGAGGGTACTGTTAATAGGCACCCTCATCAAATCATAGTAAGGAAACAGGTGACTTCGGAACATGTCACATGTTGATAGTAGTGACTCATTCACCACCAACGTACACTCGAGCACGTATGCACTTCAGTCCAAGTCGCCATATTACGTTAACATAATTAAAAAGACGAATACCAAACGTCAAAATAATGTAGCATAAATGACTTCGATTGGAAATTGAGATTATTCGAAAAAAGAAAGCAGAAAATCATGTCTGAAGAAATACTGAAACTCACGAAAAGAGTGAGTGCATCTGTACCAATGTGACTGATCGTGACCCAGATCACACAGTCCTTAACCACTGATCGCATTTATTAAGCGAGCCCTAACCACGTAATTTGCAGCTATCTACTCAGCTCAAACCAACAGTCTATGAACCCATCGACTGATTCAATATCTTCTTTAGTTCGACCCTAACTTTTTTTAGCTTACTCCTATACAAGCCAACATCACCCGTTGATGTAAACGTTATTTTGGTATAATTAAAACATATTCTAACTACCTCAATTGATAAATAACGAAAACTTCATCAACACTGTGAATAAAACTTGAGTTTTCATATCTGCGATTGGTGACATAATGCCAATTCACAGGTCTTCATGTCCCAATTTCCTTCAGGGCTTCGCACTACGCGTCCTGTGTTTAACTTACTTTAACTAACACGAATACCACTATTAATAATTGTCCTGTCTGTGCTTCGTTAACTTCGTTTTGTCACTGATAATTCGAGTGTGCCAACTTGAATCAATTCATATTTGTCCTACATATTGTAATGATTAAGACTAATCAAGAACTTTGAAACTATTTCGAAATCGAGCTTTATAGTAGCATAAAGCTAATATTATCCGATACAAGCTTAGAATACCTTATCTAGGGCATTTCTGACGTTATTAGTAGGTTTAAGATGTCAACCCAAAGAATATACTGTAGAATAACAAAGCTAGTCATCATCAACGTAGATCCTGAGACAGGTGTATGTCTCTCCAAGTCTATGTACCACAGTAACACAATGAGATGAATAGCAGAGTCAAGAAAAATCTTAACAAAAATGACAATGAAAAAAAACTGAATATTGGTAGTATAATACGGAAAGGTAGAGTGGAAGGTTATGTATGAAGGAGTGCTAGAATTCAATATCGAGAAGATAAAATGTGCAAGCACCTGCACCATAGTAAAGATTTTAAATCATATTGGCCAAAGTTACGCTGTACAGTTAAGCTTCGGAAAGTACATATCTAATTACACACGACTGACCGTCAATAGTGTCAAAAGTTGTAGCAGCAATAATAAGATTAACTTTCTGACTTCGGTATTAATAACCTAACAAGTGTCTTACGTAAAACAATAAAATTAAGGATACAAATCTGACCTATAATTTATTGGAATGTTTCTTTTTTCTAAAAATAAATGTTCCATATGTAAGAAATAAATAAAAACGAATGTGACGCTATGAATTATATATATAAGTAATAAAAATCGAGAACGACTGTGTCTGTTGATTACCAGTAGTATTACTATTTTAGGCATATATACAACTGTTATTCGTTTACTGAGTAAAACGTCTGTATATCGGAATTCCAGCCATACTCCTTGGTGTATTGAGGGAGAATGCGATGTTATCCAATTGACTAAACCACAGTAGATGGAACAGAGTTCGAACCAGAGACTACCTAATTATTCCAAGCCAACTAATTCAACTGCTAGATCCCAGTTGTATTCATTAAAACAGACAATGTAACTATACAATAGTATGCGGTCATGGGATGAAGTTAGATGCTGGATGACCTCTGTATTCTATCACTACTATAAGCAAAGTACTGGTCTCATTTAATCATATAATGTTAAGTAAATGGTGATCGGTAACCTATATTCCACGAGAGATAACAGACGTAGGTAAGAGATGCTGAAATCAAGCTTTCTTTTCCCATATACAGACATATTAGCCAATATTGCACATTGGACGTAAGTGATGGTTAGGTTGAGTACCATATGTCCTAACCGCTTCAACGACCTAATCAACAGACATGCTTTTTTATCGAATCCCCTGAATGTAACTGGTTAACTAGAAGTAAATAATTCAGCTTTTTTTGTTTTTTAACTGCCTTGGTTATTTACTTTCAATCGACTGAGTGTTGTAGTCGAAGAAGTAGTATTACGAACTGTCGTTAATCATAATTATCATAAGAGGAACGAGTAACTACCTATTCTATAGTTCTAATCAATTAGAATAGTCGAAAGCGGGGAACCGTTGACTTATTCACTGACTGTTCACACTCTTAGCAGAAAGAGATAGATAGGTTACATATTTGTCTGAATTATTTGTTAGAATTGAAATGACAATATTAAGTATTGGTATATCAAAACTGTAATTAGAAAATCAGTCATAAAAAACAATGTAAACCAAGCAGTGGTACGTAATAGTTTGAGTTGTTAGATTTCTCAAGACGAGTGAAGTGATTGAGCTTGCTAATCACTTCATTTTCTATGGTCAAACTCAGGTATTGACACAATAGAATATCGTTAAAAAATTTATTTGATGAAAACCAACCATTTTAACAAAACGGATAAGCAATCACAATTCATTTTGGAGAGAAATTATACTTATCACCTACTATAGTGTACGAGGCAGATTTTTCTGGACAATTTCGATGCTTCGGAATACAACATGATAATGGGACAGTTAATCCTGGATAATCACTCATTCCGTTGATACCACAACAATGAAGCTGTAGAAGCAAAAGAACAGAATAAATGAGAAAATGTCAATGAAAACAACTGCAACTATCTTGTTTTCTAATAAAATGACGAATGAATTGAGTTTTATAATTACCTTTATAAGTGATTGATCATTTAGTAGTGAAAGATGTCATGTTTGTCCGGAGACTTTTTTAACGCTGATTGAACTTTATCAGGTAGTCGGCAATAAACCCTGCACTAACGTTTCATTTCAGCAGGCACTCCTTAATAAAGCGTGCCTGTAATCTTCAGGGAACTGATGCTTCCAATGGGATTCGAACCCGTGTGACCAGACTAACGAACAGTTATGTGACAGTATTCGTTACGGAATGTCTAAGATATCGAAAAAATTATTAACCTGACCTGGCTCAACTTTAATCTTTTATCATAAATTTGATTCCGAATTCTACGTCTCCATCACTCATTTAAACCTTTTAGTATAATATTCAACTAGAGTGATAAGAACAAAAGTTTAAAAAGTTTTCTTTATGATCCAAGAAATACAAATATTTTGAGTGGCTTGTACAGTCTTACTAGTGCTAGCTAGTGAGCGAGTGAAAAAGGTCACCAGTTTTGTTACACAGTTGTAACGTCAAGCAGGGAAATATTTACCCTGCCATATAAACAGTTGCATAGTATTAGTTTAGTGATCAGATTCTATGACATGTTGGTATTTGCGGATCCTGTAATGTGCATCGGTTATCATTAAGTGTACCATTTTTCTTCTACTTTGCTCAGCTATTCTCCACCCCAATGGGCCGTTGATCAGTCAGTCAGCCAGTAACAACGTAGAACTTCATACGTACGTACATCAGTTCGAGTTGCCATACCACATTAGCACAGAGATGCAGTTGTCGATTCAAATCTCGTAGTGGTAGAGGCGGTAAGAGTATAAGCAGTAATCGGAAAGATCAGGGTTTCAAGATGTTATGCAAGGAGTACAATCCAGTGAAACAAATCTGGAAAGAAAATAAGGGACATGAAGAATTTAGAAGATTAAAATTTGAGAGAACACAAAGAGTGGATGCACCAGAGTCATTTTCGAACAACGAGAAGCGTACTACGCTCATATGATTTTGAGATGGTGAAGATTTGTAACTCAGGTGGATGATTTTGATACTTTTGTTCTGTGAACTGGATGGTTTGGTCGTGGAGCTTTCATCGTTCGTCTGAACGACGTCATCAGCACAAACTTCAGGTAGAAGCTCCACGATCAAACTATCCAGCTCACAGAAAACCTCATCAAAAATGATTAAATTACTCGACTTTCAACTAGTGCGTTACAAGGCCGAAACTTGCACCACCTTATTTGCACCGCATAGTTCAGAAGTATCACCACTCCCCACACTCGCGAATATGGCCGAAGTCGACTACATGACCCGTTACTTGATTGTTGAGTCGTACTGATAATATCACGACTCAACTGTGTTTCAAACTCAGAACAAAATTTTCAATAACATGAAAAATGTTTGTTTCGCATTTTCCAGTTTTTAGTACATCTTGATTTTACAGTTGTTTCAAAACACAACCTTCTGATGAATTGATATACCTTAAATTAATCCTATGAGATTTCTGACAAAAAATAGATTGGCGAAGGATAATATTCTAGGCGAAATTCCAGTGGCCATATACACTGGAAAAAAATCAGAGAATTTAGACATCGAAATTATATTGTATTGTCATTTTTACTTCCTTCGTCATAGATTAAAATTTAATTTGATAGCATATAACATCAAAATATAGAATAAATTTCAATCCTTTTGGTTATTAAACAATGGTGAATATTAAGAAGACGTACGCTTTTTTGTATCCAATCACGGTAAGAATCACTTTTGTCAAAGTGTTCATCAACTGATTCATTTTTAAATCGTATTATAATATTTTCTAAAGCTTGAATAATCCTTCTTTCCGTCTAGTATAGGTTAAGTAGTTACAATTTACTTACTTCAACTTTAAATACTAGACACAGAGCCGCTGTAGCTATTTCAACTCCGAACATAATAGTTAAACAAATAGAGTATGTTCCAAGTAGGCAGCGAGATTCATGATATGCTCCACAACATCCAAAAACAGCCACAACAATCGTTAACAAGCCTAGACCGATAAGAGCATATAATAAGTTCTGCATTTTATCGGCATGTCCAGAACGAGATACTGCACTTTGAATTAATGAATCCACATAACAATATACGGCAAAACATAGTATTGCGGCACCAATTAACTATTAATAGTGAGAATATATTGGTAAACAGGAAAATAATTAATCCACGTGCAATCGAGAAAACTTAAGCCATGACTGATTTTGACAAATTAAATAGATCGGTTTAATAATAAATAGGTTTGGTTCACTAAATGACTGAAATAACCGTAAGTTTTGAATAATGTATTAGCTTGTTGGCCGTCAAAACACTTCAAAATAACACATAGAGGAATTAACAACAAGAACTGTAAAAGCTAAACTTAAGTACTCTGATTTCAAAACAGAACGGAGGGTCGTAACACCGACCTCTAATTTCTATAATAAAATTTATCTTAGACAACTAAAGACGGCACAAATATGTACTGGCCCAAGTTATTACCTTAAAGTGGGACAGAAAAAAAGAGGACAAGAAAAGCGATCATACTAATTTGATTAAAAAGTTGAATGAAAAAAATTTGTGGTCGACGAATGGGATGAAAAAACATGTCCAGCTAATACACTTTTATAAACAACTCAGTTCAGCAGCCAATGACTTTATGGTTTCATTGTGAAATCGCTTCTTTTATTTACTTATCCTATCAAACTTACTGGGAATGAGTTCGGTTACTTTTTTGCGAGAAACGTTTATTTGATTTTCCTTATTTAGGTGTCTAATTGATTAAACATTAGCTACATGAAAGGATAAGCGGTTCAGTTAGTCAGTAAGGAGGACGTTTTGTTATCTTGCTTGGTCTCTGTACTCTTATAACATAAATACAACAAATAATACAACATCATTCGAATGTATACTTCTCTTTTCGTGTACAAGCGTATATCACCGAAGTCATAAATAAAATAAGTATATATTTTGAGTCAAACAAAATGACTAAGTGTGAAATTTCGAGTGATGTAGGAACTTGGGAATTGAAAACAAGGAGCAAAATTTTATGGGATGATTTTTAAGACCCCGTACACTCAGCTTAAAATTATAAATATAATATTAAAGATTCTTCGTCACTATGTTAAGAAAAGTTTGACACAGTTAATCACAGGCACAGACATATTTTTGGATAAACTTTTGGGATTATTTATTTAATTAAGTACCTACGGGAACAAATTTCTGCCAAACTCATTGCAAATCGGTTTTCTCTTTTATATCGTAAATTTGTAGACTTTTGAGTCAAACAATGACTCGTCTCCCTGGGGAATTGAAACCAGATAAGATCGAAAAATCAGTGTCACAACACTCAACAGGAACTCAGTCTGTATTTATATCTTATAAATTTCACCGACTAAGTTCTCTGCTTGTTTAAAAGGTATACTATTTGGGTGTAAGCTTGGATAAGAGTTAAAATGAGTAATCAACCTCAAATTTCAAGAATGCATTGGAAAGCAGTTGGCTATTTCAAAAGTATCTGAAATAATAAGAGCAAAGACCTCTCGTAATATTCGTAACTCAATCATATATAAACCTCTTTATGAGGGCATAATACGACCTCCAAGACACTTTACACAAGAGTATAATGTTATAAAAAGAGGGAACAGGATGGCAGAAAATGAGTAACAATATAATGACTTTTTTTCAGTCCCCTGAAACTACTGATGAGGTTGGAATGTGCACCGATCTCAAGTCGTTAGTTAATTATTCATTTTCTGCTATAATAATGTGGGCATCATATGTAATTTATGGGCAATCAATGGGAATCGATCAATTGATTTTAAAGGTTGGATTCATGAGTCAATCTAAACTAGACCACCATTGAAAATATGGAAGCACTGGACGGCTGTTTCGTCCTAGTATGGAGTCGTGGATGAGAACTGATGAGGAACCCCATACTAGGACTGGATAGCTATTCAGTGCTCCCAGGTTCTTAATGGTGATCTAGCTTAGATTGGCTAATGAATTCAACTGTTGAAATCACGATCTCCAGATATCCCCATTCTGATTAGGATTAATTTTACCCAGAATCTTGAAAAAGCAAGTTATTAAAATTTATATGAAACTTGAGACAAGTCTTTCCTTCTTGTTTTATTCCTTCATCGTGAAACGTATTAGGAAGTGTAGATTTACGTAACAGGTCTCAAACTAAGCTTATATGTGATGGGTAGTAATGTCATCCAGTAACCCTGACCGCAGCAGAACTAGAGCTTCCGGCTTGACAAACTACGTGGTACAGTGACTGACACTAAAACCAAACACAAATCAGCTAAAGTCGCGGATACAATTAACAATAGTTCTTAAATATGTCTAACGATTTGCCACGACACACTATAACCTCAGATGTTAATCAGAACTCGATACCCGTAAAACAAGTATTGATACCAGAATGCTTGGGCTGGCTTTTGTTAAGAACTAGAAATACTCTATGTTTTTAATAGTTGCTAAATTCTAAAGCATACATTATTTCTGTCTAGTTAAAACTACTGTTGAGTGAGTGCATATGATTCTCGCGTCCAGACAACGGAACAATTACATCTGGTCTTTGCACCAACCTCTCTGTTCGTCTACAACTCCCTATAAACGTACATATAAGGAAAGTTTATACAAATTCATCATTTGTTTGACTGATCAATTACACTACACAGACGAAGATGATCGAGGTTAAAAACAGTAAAAACTTCACCAAATTATGTTATTTCTTAAACTTGGAATATTTATTCATGCCCAAAGAATGAAAAATAAATCTTAAGTTATATTTCAATCAACTAGATGAACACAATAACACTAGGAAACTAATCTTACGGTTCCGGAAAAGAAAGCACATCGAAAATATGTTCAGTAATTAGTCACATGAATATGAATTACGGAGACTTACGAGAAATATTACATTAAACGTCATTAATGCAACGACGAGAAACGTAGTACATCCTCTACCCATCTTCCCGCCGCTAAAGGTCGTGGAAGCGAAACGTTATAGGTTATCTGATTGTTCAGAAAAAGTAAATAACCCAACTAAGAATTTGGACGTTAGGTACTTATGACGTATAAGATTATTTCATTTTATTTATTTATCCTCATATACTCTGATCATATGTCATTCCCAGGCATTAGTAATCATGCAGTTTTTGTTGTTGATTTCTATGTCGTTTCCAAGAACAATGTGTTATCCTGTGTCAGAACTAACATCTTCAAAGCAAAATGAGAGAAATTTCATATCCTTTGCTTTCAGGGGATTGGACAATAGAACCAGAATCCTTCTCTGAAAATGGTTAGGAATTCGCAAATGTAAGTTATCACACTAAACACACTTCGGAAAAAAACCTGCGTAAATGAGAAACTTTACATCGTGGTTCAATAAAAATGTTCGTGTTCTTTACTTTAAGAGAAAATGAAGAAAATGAAAGTTCTAAAGCTTAATTTCCACTAAGGTTTTGTATACTGTGGTGAACATGGTAGTACCTAATTTGGCGAGTGTTTGTCTTAAAGCTAATAGAGTTCTAAACCCCTTAGTTCCAACCTCGAGGCAGTGCGCCACGGCCTTAAGATCATGACTCACTGTTACCAAAGATCCTTGTGGGACTGGACCACAGGTACGAGAATTTCTATGTTGTACCTATTTAACTTTGTATCCTAAAAGTACATGTAGACACAATTTGCCGCGTTGATAGACATCAGCCACGTTTTAGACAACTTAATCACAATATTTAAGTCTGCCTGAAGTGTCCATTTATATATTTCTCGACAGATTTTTACGTCATCAGCGTACAGTAACATTGGGGACTCAGATACACTTGGAAGACCATTTACATACAGTAAAAAAAAGTAAAGGACCTAGGACGGAACCTTGCAATACTCCAATAAGAACCGGTCTCCAGGAGGAGCACTTCAGATTTACTCCAACTTTCTTACCTGAAGAAATCTTAAAGGCATTTGAGAAGAGGTCCGGCAATGCCTGGATTTTCCAGTGTCAAGAACAGTCTATTTCTTGACACCTTATCAAATGCTTTGTTGAAGTCCGTCAGGGCAGGCACACACATTTTTTACAGTCATGATCTACGAAATTTAACATTAATTTACTCACAGTGAGGTCATTAAATAGGTAAAATCAACAAACGTAAATATCAGTACATTCATGCAGATGTTTTGGAGCGTTAATGATCAGGTTTGTGCTTTAGCATTACACTGAGTACAGTCTTTAAAATATTTTTCCAAAGCGGCATCGCGTCCACGTTACACACTAGATCCATGCTCGGCATAAATGTGTTATAATTCTGTTCATGCTAAGTATTAATGCAATAAAACTTTTCAAGTTTATAGTTGTTATTATGTAGATTTGCAGAGTGCCTGGTGTGAACTATGACCTTGAGAAGGCAAGTATGTCAACTTTGTTCCAGGCGTCAAAAGCTTCATGGCTGTGCTCTGAGAATGTGATGCTGAAAAAAGAGAAACAAAGGAGCAGCAAGCCACTTGGATATGAGAGCTAAACAATGCTTAACATTTTGTAGTGAAACAAAGGCAGGATAAAATTGTAGATTAAACTCATAATAGCTCTTGTTGTTAGAATGAAATGTGATTAGAGCCTCCAGATGAGAGAGTTCAATGATAAAGTACAAGAGCTTATCAAATTTATCAAGGTGTAGTAAATTCAAGTGATGGAAGGAAAGTAGAAATCAGAATAAAGAAGGTTGTTTATTCGAACAGAAAGCGCTTCAAGAGAGTAGTGTTAAGAAAACTAATAACTGTGTCTTTCATTTTCTGGACATTTTTAGTTCTTCTTTTTTTCCATTTGATCCCAGCCACACAGCCCTAGTGTGAAAGTTCAAGTTAGCATGCTATAGATTATCTTGGTAGAATAGCTAATCCAGCATACAATTGTATGCTTGAGTCCAAATGGTGAGCTTAGGAGAACAATCTCTATATCACAGACTGATTGGCTCTTTCTCAATCATGAAGATCGGTATATTGTGGTATACTAGAACTAATTCAATATCTTGCTGTCTACATTTCAGCCTGCAACTCACCAGTTCATATGTCCATGAATCATGTGTCGCTGTCTCAACAGCTCGTATGCTTAAGGCACTTTACGTGTACAGGATAACCCCACATCCCCTACGATTTAGTCTGTCAGACCTACTGGATCAAAAACCGATCGACTGAATTCAATTATCAAACACATCTGACGTTAACCATGTTTCCGAGATAGCAGTGACATCCGGTTTTTCTATAACTACCATTATCTTGAGCTCCACAGTTTTATTTAGTAGGCTGTGAGCATTTGTGTAGCACATTTTTAATTCTGTGGAGAACTTTCCATTACTACCCAGAATAATTTGGCGAGCGTTGTGCTTCGAACTTTTACAATTTGTAAACCTTTATGTTCTATGTTTTATTACCATATTTTTCTTCTTTTGCCGATCGGTTCCGTATAAAATCAACCAGAATGAAGTGCTCACGGATGTATATTCTGGATCAAATTAGTTTGTGTGAGTTTCCCAGTATTAGGTTTCTTTCCTCAACCGAAGCGACGTTAACCCTTAAAAGGCGGCTTTTCTGAGCACTTTAAGAATCCACTTATTGTCATAATCTATAAAGCTTACATATTCTGACTCCTGAAACTGTTTCTGAGAGTAGATTGCTTATTAAAGACTTAATGTGGTTGAGGTCGTGCTCAAATCTAGTTTCTAGTTTCTTTTTCGAAAGATTCTTTTGATCATGAAAAATCACTGACCTGACAGCAGTGTGTCTTAACACGTTTTGTAATTCTATTTCCGGAAATCTCCTTGCAATCCGATTCTTATTTGGAGTCAGATGCAGATCTTTCAGTTTGTTTTCTTACTTTCCCTTTGCTGAATGTGACTGTGAGCCAATCATTTACCTTATGTTATCTCTTGATCACATCCTCTACGCAGCTCAGACCCCCCCCCAAAGTCTGATTTGTGAGTCCGAGACCAAAACCATGGATTAACATAGATTCCATCATCGACCGGTAAATAGCGTGCATGTCTGACACAAAGATATTTCACTTGGGCCATAAAATTGTTTTGTGACCTCACAGGAAGAACAACAGAGAAAAGTGATCTCTAGAACAAGTGTCTTTCAAGCCTTGATAGTTGATAGACACTGAAGGTGAGTGAAATAGAGGTCTGCACGTCACAATAAAAAAATCCGACTTCAGCACTTACAAAAATAACATGATGCCTTTGATTACAAACGATACTAAATGACATACTCAACGATGAAAGCAAGTACCAATGCCTTTTTTGTATCTGTACACAAAAATGTAGATGATAAACTTCCTCAGAAAAAAGCGGTACTCTTGGAGATTACTTTAACTGAAATAAATTCAACTAAAGCAAAAACAGTAGTCTTGATGTGTAATTAAAAGACTAATACTATAAAACATACACACAGGAAAAGGGCCGTTGTTTTTTTAAATGGAGCACTTGAGAACTACGTCTATGCTGCATGCCCCTGCTTCAAAGTTGACTCAGATATCCTGGGAAAATTACAGAGCGCAGCTACCTGTGAACTCTGGAGTCTACCATAAAGAGCGGCTCAAAAAGCTAGATCTCTTTACTCTGTTCTGCCTCAGATTAAGAGGTTATCTGGTTGCGATGTATAGAATACTAAGAAATCATTTTGGACCTAATATATCCTCTTTTTCCTCCTACCAGATCGAGACAACGCAGAATACAAGGCAGAAGAGTAGAAAATCCAAGAACGAATAAACAACCGTGGTATACAGGTTTTCACACCGAGTCATCAATTCTTGTAATCGGTTACCCAAGGCAGTGGTGTCTGTACCTTCAATCGATTCCCTCTAAATAGTGCTAGGTACTCATGGAAGCATACTAGAAAATGAACAACATAGGCCATGGGCCTTTTTTCTTCACTACGCGAATCTGATTCTGAACAAATCTGAAAATTTACTGGGGACCGACAAGACCAAATCTCGAAACGGGTAAGCCAGGAATACAAATGTCAAGTGTTTTCTCACTGGTAATACCATTATTATTACTGTTATTAATGGCTTTATTCAATATCATATTTTGGTGCAACATAGAATCCTCAACACAGAGTAACAACAAGTCTCGTACGCAAAAAACAGTAACAAAGACAAAAAAATGAAAAAAGATCTAAAAAACCCGAAAAACTGTACAACTTTTCAAATAAGAGACATATTAAAAATGCAGGTTATTGACTAGATTAACTCTAACAACCTATTCATCACAGAGTATATTTGCTAGGTAAGGTATGATAGAACTCTTATAATTTTGATTGCGTGCATGGATTTTAATGTAATTACATCTCGTTCTACCAGAAGATATACAAGGAGAAAGATAAGAGTGAAAAGGATGTAGGTGTCGTTATCAAGGTTTGATTTGATAATTTCGAATAAATTGAGCATTGGGTTGATTGTTATAAATAAAAATAATATATTTGTAATATCCCAACGAGTAGAAAATTGGATTTTTCTGACGTTTCGTGACTTAGTGTAAGTCACTTCTTCAGAGAATAAATAACCAAATTAATTCAAGTTTAAACATCACGACGGAACAATGAAAGAATAATATTTGATCAATCAAAAACAGGTTTGAACAATTTGATGTCATGTCATTTCTGTCAAGGTGATTCATAATGAATATGTATGTAAATTTTTGTGTGTATTTATGTGTGCATTGTTAAGAATGAAAACTTGTGTGACCTTTATGGTAAGAAAGAATAGAGTTTAAATTTGTAATATGGTAGTGTGAAATTGTAAATAATAACAGACTGAATGGTTAGTATAGATGGTCCAAGTAGGATGTATGGTGAGGCGTTCTTTTCTATTGAGAGAAGTAGGATTAAACATTATATGGAACGCCTCGGCTACCCTCCTGCCTTTGTAGTTGGAAAAGCCTTTTTGCAATATTTTGATATTTTTAAAATCGATTCGGT